GGATCGAGCCCCGCATCGGGCTCCCTGCTCAGCGGGAAGCCTGCTTCTCCCTCTGCCTCTGCCTCTCTCTCTCTCTCTCTGACTCTCATGAATAAATAAATAAAACATTTTAAAAATAAAGCTGTTATTTTTAAAAAGTGACACGGTCAGGCAGGATCAAGCTCAGGGAAACAACACAATGTATTTGAAATGACCTCGCTCCCTCCCTTCAACCTTCCCTCTCTCTCTCTGTCCCTTCCTTCCTCCCTTTAGCAGAACATAAGCATCTCCAGTCACAGGATCTCAAGTACTGAGAAATGAGAGAGGGCATCACAGGGGTAGTTTCCAGATGCTTCCACAAAGGCCTCTGGGCCAACTCATAGAAGTGGGGGTAGGAGGGGCCTCTGTGTCCTTTTGCAGATTGTCCTTTTTCAATTCTCTCTGGGCAGTCACGGGCTCAGTGCTAGGAGAAGGTGGCCCTGGCTGTGGGCAGCCTGACATGTGGACCAAGTGTAGGCCATGGGCCACTATGGGGGCATAAGGCACACAAACGGCCAAGGAGCATAATCCCAGGAGAGAAATGTGACAGGGACCCAGTCTCTGAAAAGTACAGAAGTGTCCCCACAGAAGCAGCCCCCACCTTGTCACCACCCACCAGAGTAGGCTTACCTGGTGCCAGGACGACTGGCTCGGGCTCCCCCCGGTTTCCATAGTAGCAAATGACATCTCCCTTCTCTGTGCTGTGGACAGGAGGAAAGAGAGTCAGATGGGAGCTATGGGGCATCCAAATCTCTCACTGTCTGGCAATCTCCACAGTCCAGGACAGGGACCATGGCTCGCTGCAACCAGGACAGGAGCTGGTCAGGGCCCCTCCCGCCCAGGTAGGATCTTTGAGACCCCTGGCTCCTGACTCCTGGCTCACCAGAGACCACTGGCCTGGGAGCAGCATCTAAAAGACCCTCCTGCCTCACCACATGCCCCCGTGACACAGGTACTCGCATGCTATGTGCGTTAGTAACTGCACTGTGCCCACAGACACCAGTCCCCACCCCCACAGCCCATCTCTGGACACCTCCAGACACGGTGGAATACCCCAGGGTAACAGAGGCTTCCAAACAAAGCACCAAAGATCACATTTGCCTACTTTGATGTGCTGAGTGTGCATTTAAAAATAGTTCAAGGGCGCCTGGGTGGCTCAGTTGGTTAAGCGACTGCCTTCGGCTCAGGTCATGATCCTGGAGTCCCTGGATCGAGTCCCGCATCGGGCTTCCTGCTCGGCAGGGAGTCTGCTTCGTCCTCAGACCCTATCCCCTCTCAGGTGTTCTCTCTCTCTCATTCTCTCTCTCTCAAATACATAAATAAAATCTTTAAAAAAAAAAAATAGTTCAAAATGCTCAGAACTGAAAATGTTCCCACTCCTCAATACCATAGTAAATCTTCCTTGAAATTGCCTTCTCTGCAAACTAGGAAGGACTCTTCCTGGCCTGTGAGCCGCCTTGCTACAGGTGCAGGGAACGCCACACAGGAACCTTAACCTCCAGGATGAACCATTGCAAAGAAAGAGCCGGGTGGGCTGCCAGGGAGTCCCTCTGGCTGTGCCCACCCTGGCCCCAGGGGGCTTCACATTCTGCTTGTGTTCTTCCTCCCCACAGCCCCTGGCTCATTTCTCAAGATATGTGGCTAATGACTTCAGAAATTGTGTTTATAGGCACAAAGCTAGAAAGCATGAAGACCTGTGGATTGGACACCCACTCCTGCCATGCTTGGTCAGGGACAAGCCGTGATAGCAATGAGGCTCTCTTCTTTTTTTTTTTTTTTTTAAAGATTTTATTTATTCATTTGAGACAAAGAGACACAGAGAGAGAGACAGAGAGAGAACATGAGCAGGGAGAGAGGCAGAGGGAGAGGGAGAAGCAAGCTCCCCGCTGAGCCAGGAGCCCGATGTGGGGCTTGATCCCAGGACCCTGGGATCATGACCTGGGCGGAAGGCAGATGCTTAACCATCTGAGCCACCCAGGTGCCCCAAGGCTCTCTTCTTCTTGACCCTGACTTCCTTCTGGCACCTACCACTGGGGTTCCTTGCTGACTGCCGACTCCCTCCACCCTCTGGCCTCAGCCCTCCACACCTGGCCCTTGGGCATAACCCACTCAGTTGCCCTGGCGACCACCTGGCCTTGAGAGCAGTGTCTAGGGAGGCAGGCTCTGACCCTGTGGCCCCAGGAGCCAGGAGAGCTGTTCAGGCACGGATGGGCCCAAGCCCACCTGCAGGAGCCGCCTGCCCATGCATGTGTCCACTCAGAGAATGGGGCCCTCGTCACCCAGCCACTTTGACATGGCTGCTGAGCACTGAGTCCTGCTGGTCTACTGGTCTCCCAGACCGGGTCAGCTGTAGAGAGAATGACAAGCAAAGGGGTCCCTGCTGGGCATGGAAGTCTCCCTGCAGTAGCTGCCCATGGTGCGGAGGAGAGGTCCAGGGCAGCAAGTACCTACGCCAGCCCCACCTCCTCCCATGGCCACTGCAGCCTCCACATCAATGTGTCGATCCGTGCAGTGGGGCTGAGCAGGCCACATGCAGTGGACACTCAAGGCACAGTGGGCCTGGGGCTCCTTGTGGAAGGAAGTAGGCTCGGGCCAGGTGTCTGGTCATGGGCCAGCCATGGGGTACTGACCACCTCCCCTGGTGGAAGCTGACGACATCCACTGACCTCTGGGGCACTGGCAGCGGGGGGTGCATAAGGGGAGGGCAGGAGGGAAGGACGATGGATGCTCGCTTCACTGAAGGACAAATTCACAAAACCCCTGCAGTCCCCAGCGCACATCTGTAAAGTGCAAGTCCTCCAGGAGGGAGCACAGGACGCCCCACCCGCCCTGTCGGGCTGTTCCCACCAATGCCTGAATCCACCAGCCACTCTGTGCGGCCTGCTCTGAGGAATGCACGTGGGCCCTGGGGCATCGGAGGTGAGGACACCCAGTCAGGGCCTCTCCACATCGGCCACCCTTCATGGCTGTGGCATTACCACTCCCCCACCTGCCGTGATCTGCCTTATGCACCAAGACTGTCAATAGTGTTTACTCATCTGTCGCCACATCTGTCTGCACACCTGGAGAAAGGGCCGGGTAGGCGCCTGGCACCCAGCACGCAGCCCCAGCCGCTCCCCCTGCCACTGTCCACTGGCATCTGATCAACAGTCCTGGGCACCACCCCCCTCCGGGGGACAAGGGTACCACAGGACTCCCACTACTCTGCACCAAACACCAACAATCACTTCACCTCACGACTCAGCGTCCCCCGGGGGAGGCGGACCATGGGCAGTGCCCGCCTCTCAGCCGGCACTCAGCAAACGCTGCTAAGCAATAGGCCCTGGCCTAGAGACAGCCCTGTGGAGGCCCACAGCAGTGCGTCTGGCGCCTGAGCTGCTGCAGGGCCATGGCCGGGGTCCAGGCACAGGAGCCACACAGATAAATGCACTCGGAGAAGCCAAGCCACAGCCCAACAATGGCCAGCGAGCACCTCAGCTAGAAACACAGATGCTGCAAGCCGCCACGGCCGTGAGCGCAGTGCTCCTCCCCAACCTGGTGCCCACTTGGTGGGATGGGGCTGCGGTCTCCAGGGGCACCTGGACCCCAGCCAACAGCCCAGAGCAGCACGGGGACCCCAGCCCCACTGCACACCAGCAGGGGTCTTCGCCACATCGGAGCTCGGCCACAGCAGGTGCACACGGGGTGGCTGTGAGGATGTGCCAGGCGCTGCACATGAAGGGCTCAGCATCCACCCCCACACGGCCATGCGGGCACCTGCCGGCTACTGCTGCACCTCTGCGTGCCTCACTGGGCCTGGCAACACCCCAACTGCCGCGGGCCCCTGCCGGGTTCCAGCAACCAGCCTCCTGACTCGTGGCCGGCACAGGCGCCCCTGAGGCTCCAGGCCTCTTGGGGACCCTTCCTCCTGCCTCTGCTCCTTACCTATCTGCCCGACTCCAGGTAGGGGAAGACTTCCCCCAAATGACTGCGCAGCAGAGCCTCCACGTCCTCTGGTGACGGGGCTCATGGGCAGCTGGGACAGCTGTGTTGCCCCTTGACAACTCCAGACGGGCCCTGGGAGCTGTCCACTGAGCCCCTTGCAGAAGCTGAGATGATCCAGGCCACATGCTCAGACACACCTCCCTAAAGAAGCCACCGTGAGGCCCCAGAGCTCAGCAGCACCTGACCACCACCAGCTGCTCCGGACCCCGGTCAGCGGTGCTTGGGCCTTCCTCCTCCACCCTGGGGCACGTCTGTGCAGCACAGAACAGGGCAAGTGAGGTGCAGCTCCACAACAGGGCACTCCTGAGCCACGGACACGTAGAGGAGAGCTCAGGGGCAAGGGGCCGGTGTGGGCAAGGGGTGCCCCCCGTGACTGGAGATGCCCGCTGCAGTCATGTTATAGCTCGCATGTAGGAGCCAGCGACCCTGACACTGCTTCAGGAAGCCCGGGCTCTGATCCCTGCGCCCCCGCAACAGTCGGCCGGCCCTGGGGACCCTCACCATGCCCACCAGGAGCGATGTCCCTGCAGAGGCTGCCGCAGTACCCCAAGGTGAGTGGCAGGGCGGGAACCCCATTTCCCATCAAGCCCACAACTCAGCTTTGTGGAAGTGCCTGATGGGCTGCCGTCTCCCTCCCAGCAGACCCACCTCAGGTCGGCTGCTATGAGGTTAAAGCCGTTGTACAGATGGCCCTCCGCAGAGACCTTCTTCAAGTAGGACAAGCTGTCCATGTCTGTGGTCAGAAAGTGGGTCACAAGTTCACCTGTGGGTAGGGGACAGATACACATGGCCAAGGCAGCAGGGCTGAGTCCCTCGTCCTGGGGAGCCATACCTCATTCCCCTGGCAGCTAAGGAGGTCTGCATCAAGAACTCTGTTTTTGTTGGGTTTTAATTTTTTTTTTCTGCCATTACACCCTAAATGGAAGTACAGCATGAGGGGAAAAAAATCTTCAGTGGGGACAATGTGTGTCCACGGAGCTGTCTTCCCACGGGGTATTGCTCTGCAAACATCTGACAGGTGCGGGACAATGACAACAGCCAGAAGTGACACTTTGGCCTGGGGCACAAATGTGGAGAGTGTTCCCTGAGAGGGGCAAACCATGTCTGTGCAGGTACGTGCTGTGTGGGCCAGGCGGAGGGGGCGTTCCCCCAGTGATGCCAGCCAGTGGGCCTCAGAGCCAGAAACACCCCACTTCCCCTTCTTCCTCCTCCTGTGTCCACATGTGCCCAGGAAAGCCCGCCCCCCTGCCCCGCACCCTCCACCACAGCCCCATGGTACCTCGGCCCCGGGCATCTGGGTCCTGCCGCGGCTGCAGGTAGTTGGTGAGTGCGGCCAGCTTCCCCCGTGTGCTGATGCCCAGCCACGTGCCTCCTTCCTTGCCTTCCTCCATGTCAAGCCCTGTGGCAGATGATAGTGTCACGACCAGTAGCGCCTACTGCCCTGGCCCTGTGTGCTAGGGAGATGCATGCTCAGCCCAGCAGCCCTGGCTAAGGAATAGGGGCTTGAAGTACTCAGGGCAACGCAGCCCTAAAGCCCACAGGGCATGTGAGACAGATCATGCTCCCAGGATGACATCTGATGCCCATGGAGCCCCTGAAAGCTTGCGGTGGGACCTGGCATGTGTGGAATGCATCCTGATGCTTGGATCAACACTGGGCTGGGAGCACAGTACCAGCTCCCTCCTAGCAATGGCACCAGGCCCCAATCCCACATCCTGGATCAGGTGCAGGGCCGCTGGCTTTCCTCCCCCAGCAGGACACACAGGCCCTCAGGCTGGGCGCTTCACTAGGAGCCCGGAGCACATCCAGGCCCACCTGTTTGCTTGATTCCCACCCCATAGGCCCAGGTCATGGTTAGCCCTCCATGGGGCCTCACCACTGGGTCAGTGAGGCCCTTTAAGTCATAGCAAAGTGTCTTCCTAGATTAGAGGATCATTTCAGTTGAAGACTGCGGTAAAAGCAGCTAAATCATTAAAATATCATTTTTATAATAATAATAAATTATAACAATAAAAGAAAGAAAGATGGAAAGATCAGAAAGGAAGGAGTAAACTGTATTTGTAGATGAGAGGATTACAGGTGAAGAAAATCCAAAAGGAATCTACAAAAAAAAAAATCTGCTGGGGGCACCTGGCTGGCTCAGTCAGAAGAGCATGGGACTCTTGATCTCAGGGTCCTGAGTTTGAGCCTGGTGTTAGACACAAAAATTACTAAAAAAATAAATTAACTTAAAAAAATCTACTAGAACTGCTAAGTAAATAAAGGCAAGAATCAGAAAATGAAAATTTAAAGATACCATTTACAATAGCATTAAATAAAACAAAACGTAGGAAAACATTTAAGGAAAAATGCGTAACACCTAAAGACTGAAAACCACAGAGCAGCGCTGAGAGAAGTCAAGAATCTGTAACTAAAAGAGAGACAGAGATGCCCCGTTCCTCAACCGAAGAGTCAATATTGTTAAGACGACAGTTCTCTCCAAATGGCCAGAAGAGTCAACACAATCCAAATCCAAATCCCAGGAAGCTTTTCTATTTTATAGAAATTAACAAACTGACTTTAAAATTTATATGCACACACAAAAGAGCCAGGATGGCCAAAGGAGTCCTGAAATAGAACAAAGCTGGAGGACTTAACACCACTTGATTTCAAAACTTGCTAAAAAAACTGCAGCAATCGAGACAGTGTGATGCTGGCATCAAGACAGACAAACAGATCAATGGCACACAAAGGAGTCCAAAATAGATCCACACATGTGTTCAACTGATTTTCAACCATGTTGCCATAGGAATGCAATAGGCAAAAGAGTTATCTATTCAATAAATAAGGCTAGGAGAACTTGAGATATGAATCTCAACCCCTACCTCACACCAAGTACAAAAATGTAAGATAAATCATAGACCTAAACACAAAACCCTAAATCAAAAGGCTTCTAGAAGCAAAAAGAGGAAAACATCTTTATGGCTTTAGGGTAGGCAAAGACACAAACAGAATAAACCATAAAAGAGTAAACTTCACTTCACGAAAAGAAAATATTCTGCTCACCAGAAGATGTCATTAAGTAAATGAGGAGGCAATACATTTATCCAAAAAGGGACTCCAATCCAGAATGCATAAAAAACTCCTACAAATCAAACACTGAAAAGTAAACAAGAATTCCATATCTGGCCAATCACCAGGGACCAGATTTACTCTCCTACCTAAAACCACCAAAAGAAAATACATGAAACAATGCGTTTCAAGATACTGGACATCAAAAAACAAAGGACACAGATCTCTGAGACAAGAAATAAACTAGGTGAACCCCAAGACTGGAGAGAGTCTCCAGGACACTGCATGGGGAGGAGACCCAGGCCGAGGGTCTGGACTCCACCGGACTCCCTGGCCGAGGAGAAGGGCTGGGAGCCTGAGGAGATTGAGGAGACCAGAGCTCCCAGGACAGAAGACCAGAGAGGAGAGAGCTGCACAGAACCCCAGACAACTGATCGGTACATGTGTGTGAGGAAACTACCCGTGGCCAAGAAAGAGCCATCCAGAAAGATTAGAGGAGACAGTGCTCACGCAGGGCTGGGAATAGTGCCTGTTCCTAGAAGTCAGCCTGGAAAACCTCAAGATCTAGGGAGCACAGGCAAGGGAAGACAGAAGGATCTTGCCTGAGGAGTAGGGAATCATTGGCCTTAGACTGGGCATAGCTTCAGAGCCACTGAACCAATCTTAAAAGCAAGACCTGAAAGGATCAAATTGTTTCTGAGCATCTTGACTGTGTCCCAGAACAAAGCTCAGAAATATTTATAGATATACAAAATATTCGGTCCCCAACAAGATAAAACCCATATGTTTGGCATCCAATCAAAAATTACCAAGCATGCAAAGAAGCAGAAAAACATGGCCCTGCTTACTAAAAGTTCAATCAATCTAGTCAAACTGAACTGGAACTGACACAGACATCAGACTTTGCAGACAAGGATATTTAAACAGCTATTAAAACTATATTCTGTATGCTAAAATAGTTAAGAACATACAAAGAAGACAGAAAAATTGAATTTCTAGAGATAAAAACTACAATGTGTGAGAGAAAAAACATATACGATGGGGTTAAAAGCAGATTAGACACCAGAGAAAGAAAGATTAGTGAATGTGAAGTTATGGCAATAGAAATGATCTAAAATGAAACAGAGAGAAAAGAGGGTTTTTAAAAATGAATTGAGCATTATCAAGGGTGCCTGAGTGGCTCAGTCAGTTAAGTGTCTGACTCTTGATTTTGGCTCAGGTCATGATCTCAGGGTCGTGAGACTGAGCCCCGTGTCAGGCTCTGCACTCAGCAGTGTATCTGCTTGAGATTCTCTCTCTCTTCCTCTGCCCCTCCCCTCATTCATGCACACCCGTGTGCACACTCTCTCTAAAAAACTGAGAAATAAAATCTTTTAATAAAATGAACTGAGCATCATCAAAGTGTGGGACAACACAACCTATATGTGTGAATAGGCAGAGAGAAGGAAAGAGATCGAAAAGAAAGAGCAGGAGACAGAAAAAATATTTTAAAAAATAATACCTGAATTTTTCCAAACTTCTAACAAGTTCCCAAGCAATGCTGATGCTACTAGCTCACAGATCACATTTGGAGAACCACTGGCCTACAATTCTGCACACAATTTGGTGATGTCAGATGGCGGGAGGATGTGGATCTTAGTGTCTTCCAGCCCTAACTGGTGCAGTGGCCACTGGGCCCGCCCGGCACTGTCATGCAGCAGGGCCACCCTCCCACTAGGCAGGAGCCCCGTATCAGCATGCCAGAGACCAACTCCAAATCACTACAAAGGGTGAAGGATTCCAAGTGGCTGGAACCCCTCAGCAGGGATTGGCCCTGATTTAGGGTCAGGGTGCAGGCCTGAGTGCCTAAGCAGCATGGAGCCCAGGTGGCCAGGATGGCCAAAGGAGCCCAAACAGGCTAACCCTTCATCTGTGTACTGTTCTACAAAAATACTCAAGAAGTGCCATCAGGCCCTCACCCCTCACCCCACCCACTCTGACCAGTCCCCACCCCCCCCACGCCACTACAGCCACCCATTCATGCCCTGCAGCAGCAACACACACAGCCTGCCCCATCCCCATGACCCCCTTCCATTCTACTCTAGCTCAGGATGGTTGGCATGGTACTGGCCAGGCCCACAGGCTCCCCTCAGCCCTCCTCGCATTGCCCTGCAGGCCTGACCCTCGACCTCTGGGAGAGCCATGGCTGGCCCAGCCAAGGACCCCACATACATGGCCCCCCTGGGGTTACTGTACTGAAGTACCTGGAGCTTACACAACAGGGGTCTCTGGCCCCCCACTTCTGTCCGCACATCTAGACATTTCCAATGTCTCCCGCGCAGCTTCTGAGGAGGCCAAGACATAACCCAGAGACCTAGCCTCTTCTCCCTCTTGCTCTTAGTGAGAGGGGTCTCACAACAGCTTTCCCCACCACCTGCCAGACCTCCTGTCCACGACACTGCCCTGCCTCAGTCTCCCCACTCCTGTCCTCTTTCCACATGGCACCAGAACGATCCAGCCTGGGCAGTGTTTTCCTCATACCAATGCCCAACCAGTCTATACAGGAGGCCCTCTATAGAAGTTCCACAGTCAAGCTTTTAGATGCTGCAGGCGAAGCAGGGCACACCTGGTGTCCCCAGACCCCTGAGGGCACCCACTCAGCCCACTGGGCACCTGAGCACCCCTGTCAGCCCTGCCAGGTTCCTTTCTGCTTCCCTGATGCCTAGCTCGCAGGCAGAGGGACCTTGGCCTGGCCAATACCTGTCCACATGCCCTCCAAGTAGACCCCTGTCCGCCCCATGGGCAGAAACTGCTCTCTGTCCACGGGGCTCAGGGAGGCTGCCCGCTGAGCCAGCAGGGGACACAGCTGTCACCTCCGCTTCTGCCTCCCTCTGTGGGAACTCTTCATGCAGCTCCCATCTGAACGTGCTCCAACCAAGCCTCTGCTTCCCAAATTCAGACCATCTCTGGAGCAAGGCGTGCCGGTGTGTAAAGAGAAATGCGTGTGCTCGCGCGCGCGCGCACACACACACACCCCAACTACGATGCTTCACAGAGTGACCGAATGTGAACCTGCACCTCATACAAACCCAACCACACGTGCACAGCAAAAAGGTGGATCCAAATAAAACCAACTGATCCTTCCAGCTACTTCTCTGGGAACCCACAACACATGAAACCATGTGGATGGCGCTGGGTAGACACTTCGGGGCTGGTCACCTCAATGCTGGTCCCAGACCCCAACCTGGGAGCCTCCCCCATGAGACCAGTCAGTGTCCACTCCTTCATTCTGCACTTACACGGAGAGGCAGCACCAGTAACAGTTAAAAGCACTCTGGGGCTCCTACTTCCTGCCATGTTGTGGCCGCCCCCCGAGGAAAGACTCACCACTGAGGACCTCATTGTTGCTCCCCCAGAAGTCAGCTAGCTTGGATGGTCTGTGGTAAAATTCATCCCTGTTGGCCGCCAGGATGAGCCTGAAAGAGAAAGCATGACCAAAGGTCTCAGGGGAAAACAGAAAAGCCAATTTTTTCTCCTGTTAACAAAGAAAATTTGCCTCCTTTAGCAACATAGGCAAGTCCTAAAGAGGACAGGAACCCTCAGGAGACAAAGATCGTGACGGCGCCAGACAGGTGGGTTTCCTAGGGAGCCTTCGGCCAAGACTGTGCCCCAGGACCCTGACGAAGAGAGAGGCGATGCTGGGCAAAGACGCATATCCCATCCCACCCTGCATACCCCACTTACCCAAAAAGGGCAGCAGCACCTGCACAGGCATGTCCCAGGTACCCCGGTGGCAGAGAAGTACCCCTTCTGCCCATCTGTCCCTTCCCCCGAGGCCATCCCCAGTGAGCCCATGACTTCCTGGAAATGTGAACAGGCCCACCAGAAGGGCCCTGGGGACATGTGGAGCAGCGGCAGAGCACAGGATCTCTGGAGGCTGCTGTCCTGCATTTTGGGGTGTTTGGGGGAAGGAAGTGGGGTAAGAACTTCTGTGTTTCTCTAGTTTTTTGCATTATGAATCCAACAAGTTTTTTGTTGGCAAGCAGAGAAGATGTCAACGTTTTCAAAAGAGTTCTGGTTTTAACATAAGAAAACAAAGTTTCTGGGCATCTGTGTGGCTCAGTTGGTTAAGCGACTGCCTTTGGCCCAGGTCATGATCCCGGAGTCCTGGGATCAAGTCCTGCATCGGGCTCCCGGCTCAGCAGGGAGCCAGCTTCTCCCTTGGACCCTCTCCCCTCTCATGCTGTTTCTCTCTCTCTCTCAAATAAATAAAATCTTAAAAAAAAAAAACACAACAAAGTTTCTAGTCGGCTTTGCCCTTTTAAATAAGAACACAGACTGTGACTGAGTGGGGCTGCCACGTCTGTGAGACCTCTGGGTCTAAGAAGGGACAGCCAAAGGACCCTCTGAGCACCACCGGCAGGTGCGCAAAGGACACGGGGCCAGGAGCTACGGCTTGGCCACCTGTGGTCACACTGGGTCTGAAACCAAGTCAGTCTAGTCAGTGGTCAGATCCTAAGGAGTCTTCAAAAATCATTTTTGTATTGACTCTTAGATGAACATTTAGGGGCGCCTGGGTGGCTCAGTCGGTTAAGTGTCTGCCTTCAGCTCAGGTCACGATCTCAGGGTCCTGGGATCAAGTCCCGCATCGGGCTCCCTGCTCAGCGGAGAGTCCGCCTGTCCCTCTCCCTCCGTCCCTCCCCCCGGCTCGCACATGCACCATCTCTTTCTCTGTCAATCAAAATCTTAAAAAAAAAAAAAGATTTTTATGGACACTTGGCTTGTGGTAAAATGTGAGTTAACAAAGTTCATAAAACTGAAAGTGAAACTGGCACCCACACCACCGCACAGGTCCACAGAAGCACTTTCATCCTGTGCACACTGCATGCGGTAGCCCCCCGCCCCAACTCCACACCTCCCCACGCAGCCCCAGCCACAGGCACCAACATGGCCAAGGCCTGGCAGTGGCCATCAAACCCTCCAGTCTCACCACCTTCGGGACACCTGTCCAGCCTGCAGCAGCCCTCTATCCCCCCAGGCACAGCACTCCGGGCTGCTCCAGGTCTCAGGGACAGGCACTTAGGGAGCAGTCGCTGTCCCTGATACGAAACCCAGCCATTCACAGAACAATCCTCTGCAGCGCCACCTGCCGGACCCCAGGCCCGGTCTGAGGAAGATAGCCTTAGGGAGAAGCCAGCCGGGCCCTGACCTCTTTTATCTTCTGCCACATCTGCTTTGTCCCTTCCTTCTGCGACTCAATTCTGGACCCAACCTGGCTAGCACTGCTCCCACAGGCTACGTGTATGGGCCGGGCACCCCACCAACCCCTGTGGGTGGAGGTCATTCCACGTGGTCAGGAAACAGTGTCTGCCTTCAGAATCCCAAGCACCGCTCCTCTGCTCACTCGTCCTGACACCTGTGCTGAGAGGGGGCTGGGGAGGCCGGGGAGGCCAGCGAGGTGCTTCCCAAATGGAGACTGGTGCTTTTGGCTTCTGGTTCTGATTCTTACGTAAGTCTCCAGAAAAGGAAAAATTAGGGAAAAAAAAAAAAAAGCTGACTGAGCAGAACCTTGTCCTAAGATTTTCAACTCCCTACTATTTTTAAAACAAGGAGCAGTGACACGCATTTGTTAATAACTAGGAATATTAATAACTGCCCGGTTATTTCTGCCATAAGAGTCGCTATTTCGCTGAATTGCTAGTGGTTTGTTGGGGATTTCATTAAATACCTAATTGGGAGACGTGGGCATGATGAGTACCCACATCAAGGCTCCAAGTAAGAGAAAGTATTCCCTCACTCACCACTTCTGGATACTGCAACACCAATAAAAGTCCATCTGTGCCACAGCGCCCAGGGGCAGGGGCCATGCCCACCAGTCAGGGGCTCGGAGGACAGCAAGTCAGGTTTGTTTTGTTCTAACAACTGAAACCACTAATTACTCATCGATGGGCACTCCTCACCCTGCTACTGGGGGTGAGTCTGTGCACCGTCTGGAGGTACTAGGTAGATCTGTGTACCACCTGAGAGTGTGAGTCTGCGCAACACCTGGGGGGTGAGTCTGCACACCATCTAGGATGGCGGAGTCTGCACACCATCTGGGGAGTGAGTGTGTACCATCTGGGATGGCTGAGTCTGCACACCATCTGGGAGAGTGCGTCTGTATACCATCTAGGGGGTGAGTCAGTGCACCATCTGGGGGAGGTAGGCGTGGGCACCATCTGGCAGGTGAGTTGTGTGTCGTCTAGAAGGTGAGTCAGGGCACCATCTCAGGGGCTGAATCTGTGTACTATGGGCTGGGGGATCTCGGCACCATCTGAGGGGCAAGTCTGTGCACCATCTGGGGAGAGTTTAGTGCCAGGTAGCAGGTGCACAGGCCCATGGCCCAGTGATGTCACCAGCAGTGATGAGTCCCGCGGAAGCTACCAGCAGGATGTGACAGCTTGCCCAGCAGCCCCTCCAGACTGGAGCCAACAAGGGGAATTAGCTCATGAGTCTAAACAGACATTTTGATAAAGACGGTGGTTATACTACAGCCGTGACAGTGTTACCTGATGGGAAGCATACTGGTTTTCTATGGGGCCTCACAAATTGCCACACACAGAGCGTGCGTACACAGTAGCTCAGAGCAACGCCTACTTCTCATCTCAGTCTATGGTCAGGAGCGCGGGCCAGGATGTGCTGGGTGCTCTGCTCAGTGGCCCCTGAGGTAGCACCCAAGGTGCCAACCAGCAAGGTGTCGCTGAGGTTCGGGATCTCATGTTCCTGAGGTTGCTGCAGAATTCCCATCCTAGGCCGGGGTCACTCTCAACTCCTAGAGGCCACCCCCAGTTCCTGGCCATGGGCCCCTCCAAGCACAGCAGCTTCCCTCTTCAGGAGGGGCCTGGCCCCACCTGGGGGCTCTTCTGATTACATCAGACCCACCCAGGACTGCTCCCATTTGACTAACTCCAACTCAACTGATTAGGGACTTTTGTCACATTGGCAAAATCCCTTCACATTGAGCCCCACAGCCCCACACACAACCAGGGGAATGAATGACATTGGTGTGTACAGCGAGGGCAGGAATCTTGGGAGCCATCAGCCTACCACAGGGGTTACGGGAGCTCACATTTTACTTTGTACATCCTGTAGGGTATGACTTCTTTTCAAAGAGCACGTACCCCTTTACAATCAGGGACATAACTAGAACCCCAGGGAAACACCGCTGCCTCCACAGAGCAAGGTCATGGGGATCCCGGGGCAAAGCTGCAGCCAGCACGGAAAAGTTCCAAGTCAGCAGCTCACAGGCTGCTAAAACCGTTTCTTACTTGCTACGCTCCTTGCCTCAGTGCTGCAGATATCCGTACTAAAATTTAAAACGAATGGAAACAACAGGCACCCAGACAGTACTCACACTGGGTAACTGTCACCAAAAATTGGAGGTTCCAAGTGCCACGTAACAACAGGCATGGGAGGCAGAGGCTGGGACCACCCAGGGGAATCCCACGTCTGGGCAGGGGCCATGATGCCCCATGGCAGAAGCAACCCCAGGAGGGAGTGACTCCCACGGAGCCCACCTCACCAGGGCCAGCTCAGCACCAAGAGGACAGGTTGGGAGGCCCGAGGGCATTTGGGGAGTCATGCCAGGGCAGTGCTTGCGGGGAGGCAGCAGTGGGATGTGACCTGGGGACCGCTGCCACATCTGGAGGGATGGGTATCCCCAACAGCGAGGGGCAGTGGGATGTTGACATGGGGGATGGGAGGTGTAGACCACGGGATCCATGACATCAGGGCCCAGCCCAGCATCAGGCCTGGAGATGCTCTGCAGAAGTGGCCATGCTCACATTCACTCCCTGGGCAGGTGCTGAGCTGGCTCCCTCCCTGCCTGCACCCGGTGAGCGTCACTCAACAACACACTGTGACTGCCAAATCTGGGGGGAAGAGACCACAAGATGCATGCTCCGCGGTAGGCTACACTTTCTCTCGTGGGGAAACAGATGATACGATGCTTGAACGAGGCCCAAGAGAAGGAGAGATGCTTCAGGAGCCATGCCTTTCACCAGCAGGCCTGCAAAGTGGCAGGCACAGACCAAGCACCACCATCGCTGGGCCAGTCCCAGGCAGGGCATGACAGGGACAGGCTCATCTTCCAGGAACTGACTCCTGGAAGGTCAGAAAACACATTCCCGTGAGATCAGCATCTGGCAATGGCAGAGCCGTGGGTGACACTGCCCACAGCGTCAAAGGTGAGGATGTCTCATTCTTTTCTGTAGGGCAGATATTTAAATCATTTACATAGACAGTTGACCCTTGAACACAGGGGTTAAGGGAACCAACCGCCCTCCCCGCAGAGTCAAAAATCCAGGTATAACTTTTTTTTTTAAGATCTTATCTATTCAGGGGCACCTGGGTGGCTCAGTCAGTTAAGCGGCTGCCTTCGGCTCAGGTCATGATCCCAGGGTCCTGGGATTGAGCCCCACGTCAGGCTCCCTGCTCGGCAGGGAGCCTCCTTCTCCTTCTCCCTCTGTCTGCCTCTCTGCCTACTTGTGCTCTCTATCTCTCTGTCAAATGAATAAAATCTTTAAAAAAAAAAAAAATCTTATCTATTCATTTGACTGAGAGAGAGAGGAAGAGAGGGGGAAGCACAAGCAGGGGAAGCAGCAGAGGGAGAGGGAGAATCAGGCTTCCCACTAGGCAGGAAGCCCAACATGGGGCTCCATCCCAGAACCCTGGGATCATGACCTGAGCCGAAGGCAGATGCTTAACCGAGTAAGCCACCCAGGCTCCCCAAAAATCCATGTATAACTTTTGACTCCACCAAAACTTAACTAGTACTGGCCTACTGTTCACCACAAACCTTACCAATAACATAAACAGTTCAATCCACATGTATTTTATATGTTATATATATTACATACCGTATTTTTTACAATAAAGTAAGCTAGAGAAAAATAAAACATTATTAAGAAAATCATGAAGAGGAGCGCCTCGCTGGCTCATTGGTGGAACCCATGACTCTTGATCTCAGGGTTGTGAGTCCGAGCCCCACGTTGGGTGTAGAGATCACTTGAAAAATCGAGTAAAAAAAAAAAAAAATCATAAGGAAGAGAAAATACATTTATAGTACTGTACTTTAAAAAATCGGCATGTCAGGGCACCTGGGTGGCTCAGTCGTTAAGTGTCTGCCTTCGGCTCAGGTCATGGTCCCAGGGTCCTGGGATCGAGCCACGCATCGGGCTCCCTGCTCAGCAGGAAGCCTGCTTCTCCCTCTCCCACTCCCCCTGCTTGTGTTCCCTCTCTTGCTGTGTTTCTGTCAAATAAATAAATAAAATCTTAAAAAAGAAAAAATTGGCATGTAAGTGGACCTGCACAGTTCAAATCCATGTTGTTCAAAGGTCAACTTTCCATGGCAAGGATGGCCACCATTCCAGCTATAAAAGTCCCCTTCACAACCATCTGACCCTGGAGCAGCAATGACTGCAGGGATGAGCTCAACCCACAAACAAAACCAGGTGCTTCCCATTACCCCAAGTGCCAAGAGGCCACTGCACGTGTGTTGATATTGAGGGTGCCTAAGAGAGCACACGGAGCACAGGGTCTTCGATGGGTCCCAGCCATGTGGACCAGTTTGGTGGGCAGCAGAGTCCAAGTGGATGGTGGCCCTGGCACCTGGTTTGTCTGGCTTGGTGGGAGAGAACTTGGTCTGGACAGTGAACAATGATGACACACCGTGAAGACATGCTCCACCACCAAACGGATACATGGGCTGGCATGGCTTGGGAAGCCTATGGCACGGCCATCGAAAGACACTCGCAGGAATCAATTTGGTAGTTCCTCAGAAAGTCGAAAACAGAACTGCCATGTGATCCAGTAATTCTGCCTCGGGGTATACCCGCCCCAAAAAAAGAATGGAAAGCGGGACTCAAACAGACACTTGTATGCTATCTCCACGGCAGCATGACTCACAATAGCCAAGAAGTGGAAATAGTCCAAGTGTCCATCAAGAGATGAATGGATAAAAATGTGGTCCTGCATACAGTGGGATGTTACTGAGCCTTAAGAAGGAAGGAGATTCTGACACATGCTACACCGTGATCTTGAGGACACTATGCTCAATAAAATAAGCCAGTCACATAAAAATACTACGATTCCACTTATTTGAGGTCCCCAGAGTAGTCAAGGTCATTGAAACAAAGTAGACTGGTGGTTGCCAGGGGCTGGGGAGAGGGAAACGGGAAGTCAGTGTTTGGTGGAGACAGAGATTCAGCTGGGGACAATGAAGAGTTCTGGAGATGGATGGCGGGGATGGTTGCACAACGACGTGAATGTACTTAATGCCACTGAACTGGACACTTGTCAATGGTTAGAATGGCACACACTCCTATTCCTGCCAATTATTAGGTTGGGGGCGGGAGATGAAGACACAGCAGTGCATGCTAACGTGGAGGGCAGAGGCTGGTGCATCCCAGGCCAGGACAGGGATGGCTAAAGCAGGAGGGAGCCCAAGTGAGGGACGCTGGGGCAGGTCCTGCTGGCCCCATCGGCTCCTGGCAGCACTGCCTAGCCAGGGCCTCCTCCCCACCACACTGATGGCCCTGGAGCCTGGCCTGCTCCCCATTCCACTCTAGGCACCGGGAACCCCTCTCCAATCTCTGACAGGCCCAGGCTTGGCCTCTCCTCACTGGCCCTGCTGCAGTGTCCCTCCCATGCGGCCCCCTCCCTGCTCCTCCCATCCTTTTCTCCTATCACACACGTATGGAAGCATGAATACCAAGGGCCCACAGCCCACCCATTCTCAAGGGCCAGACAACCCCACAGCTAGAGTAGGAGCAGCTACCGGAAGTCCCTCTTGCCCCCACCCCCCCACGCAATAGGGTAAACAACAAGTGTATTTGGTCAGTCACCAGCGGTGGTATGTTTAGGTTTTGGCTTAGGGCTTTGGAATACACTGGAGAGAAACATTAAGGCTGTCTTGAATCACAATCCACAAGGAGTCGTTATGAGGAGAGGTCTTGGCAGTGACGCACAGGTCCCGAGCGAAAACAAGAGAGACCTCCTTCCTCCTTCTTCCCATGTTTATTTTACTGGCAGGAGACTGGAGGTAACCTCAGGAAACAGCATTTCCAGGGAGGCTGCGGCTGAATCTGGTAGTAAATATAGCCAGGAACAGACTCAGGGAATTGTCAGGCTGCGTGTCCCCGTGTGAGAAATCCTTATCAGGTCAAAACAGAGTCATTTTGTTGGTATGTGAGAGTTCACGTGAGCACAGAGGGGTGCACATGAAACCTCAGTAGCCAAAGGGGTAGACCATGTCAGTAATCCCGCTATTATGTCTCAGCCCCAAATTTGCCCTTCACTGCCTCCTCAGGATAAAGGAGCTGACGTTGGGGCTAGTACCATATTAAGTTTCGTCAGTAGAGGGCGCTGAAGAGACACCGCAGGACACTCCTGGCAACATGCCTGGCTCCCCCAGGATGAGTCCGGTTACACATGCGGCTTCCCCCACGCACCTAGTGACCAGCACCTCTCCCCAGTATCCTCCCGAGACAGTTGCCCGCACACCGGAGGGCAGACTCCTAGCAAGCTCCACTGCCATGGCACCCCAGCGATTTCTTTGCTATCCAGTGTGCCGCGGCTGAGCGTCTCCAGCAAGGTCTGGCTCTCAGCCGAGGGTGGAAGACGGGGTTCCACCCAGGGCATTCCAATCCTGTTATAGTTAATAATTCTGGATGTTACACTTCCCCTGCTCAAATCACTGCCCCTGGATCCTGCCCATTGGCTACACCCCAGCTCATTCTGCTGGGGGTCATGCAGGGTCAGCTCCAGGACCCTGGCCTGGCCCTGCTGTCCATTCCTCTGCATGATGGGAACACTGGGGACTCTTCAGTCCCCAACTTCTGGCCTGGAATGAGTTTCATTCAGCACAAAATTAGGCAGCATGGTGTCTGTGCAATTTTGCATGGTGACTCAAGTCTAAGAAGCTAATCAAAATGGTTCAAATCATTTCTGGTATAGATTTCAAAATGATGAAAACTTTCCAAGCAATCGTACTAGTGATCAGTTTAAAATGTCATTTTGGTTGTGGGTTACCTCTCAGCCTCATACTTGGAAAAACACGGAAAAATTCCCACTGGGTACCCCAGGAAACAGAGGGGCACATCCAGAGCCCAAGGTTGTGGGGAGGAGGGGGGTGCACTGGATCATGTCTCATCCCTCTCTGGCCTGTTTCCCACCTCCTCTGCTGATCTCCCAGCTTCCCCACCCCCACCCTCATTCCCCAGCTCAGGACCCACAGACCCTGTGTTCCTACCACCACCCAGACTTACCACTGGCAACACAGACGAGCCCAGTCTAAATGGGGCTCTTGCTCATCAAGCCAGTTCTGCTGCCCCTGGCGCCCCTGCAGAAACCACAGGGCTGCGCCCCTACCTAGCCCAACATGGCTTCTCTGTCCTGCCCCTACAGCGACCTTAAGCAGCTAAGCCTCTGCACCTTTGTATGTCAGTTCAGCTTTCCTGCCACCTGGCAGTACCCACTGCTGCATCCCACACTGAATAACTGCTGTTGGACAGGGCAGGCCCAGCCTGTACAGCTTGTCCCCACCTGGGCGCTATGAGGACTGTGGGGCACCTGAGGCCAAGCGGAGGACAGTAGACACAGAGCAAGGGGGTTACCTGTATGCATTTTTAGAAACAGGGCGAGGATCGAACTTAAAGAAGATGATGCACATGGGTCCCTGAGAGCAGCTTTGTTCACACAGGGTCACCAGTCTGCGGGAAAAGGAAAAAAAAATGTGTTGAATAAACAGCAGACAACACACCACTGCCTCCCCGAACCTGCAGTGCTCCCTGGCCCAGAAGAGAACCGCCTCTGGGATGCCCCTGACCCTTGTGGACACGGCAGAACCATACACCAGACACCGTGACGCTCACCAGCACCGCCCAACCATCTCCCTAAGTGCTCACACACATCAGCACGGGCCAGACTGGCCCCCACTGCCTGCCACGCTCACTGGCCCTGGACACACCACGTGGAGGGTGGCCACAGGAGCAAGAACGAGAACCTGGCGGCCTCTGGGGCCAGCAGATCTTTTCCCCTAACCGAACTGAGAACAGAGATGAGATCCTGAGGCCACTGACCCTGGACAAGGTGACTGAGGGTCTCTAGCCCTGCATGTGTGCCTGAGCCAGGGCAAGGCTGCAGAGCAGAGCCAGCGGCCGCAGCCAGGGAACAGACAACACAGAGGCTGCGGAGACACTAAAGGGAGCCAAAAAGATGCCCCCAGAAGAGCCTCAGGAGCAAGGGGGGTGAGGGAGTGTTCGGCGTATGTGCATGTACATGAGGCCTTGAGGTCTGCATGCATGTGCAAGTGTACAGTTATGTGTGGGTGTTTGCAAGTGTGTGCTTCCGCAGATGTCTGCATGCATGTGTGTGACTGTGTGTCCACTGAGCTCCAAGTGCACTAGCCTGGGGAGCCCTGGGACTGGGGAGGGTCCGTGCAGTACCCTGCCACCCCCTCACCCCCGCCCAGAACACAGCACCTACTAGAGCAAGGTTTGGGGTCCGCATCTTTAAAGAGGGTCTGTGAACTGGGCCCCAGCTGGGAGAAGGTGGGATGAGATGCCCAGACCCTGCCCATCCTTGCTCCAGGTTTCAACATAAACCACGAACACCGTGCCACTCCAAACCCTCTGCCCCCAAGCCTTGGAGAAGCCACATGGAGGTGGGGGGAGGGGAGGGTACTTCAGGCGTGGGAGGAGCAGGAGTGGGCCGAGAGGGGCTCCAGCTCCCTGCCCCAGGCCAGGGTCCCCACCACCCACACACGACAGTCCCGAGAGAGGCGCACCCCGGCCATAGGATTGGGCAGGTGAACAGAGGAGAGGTGAGAGCCCCCCTCTATGCCAGTACAACTTCTCCCAGGTCTTGGGTCTCCGAAGCAAAACATTTTCTGTTTTGGGACTCAGAAGGAGGACGTTCCCACCACGCCGACCCTGCCATCTAAGCTGTGCCAGCACCCAAGCATGGGTGGGTGGGTGGACAGGTGGCAGGGACTCTGGCCACAGAGCATGGAAGAGCCAAGGAGGGGCCAAAGCCTGAGGCTGGCCCCGTGGACACGACCACAGCTCGGAGCCACATGGAGGTCTTCCTGTGGATGACATCATGCTGTCCCTGCCTCTCCACTCATTTCTGGCTCACTGGTCTGGCTGGCCTGGGAAGTAGAGGGAGGGGGTCAGGGAGGAAGGATCTACTCGACTACTGTCGCCACTGGCTCCCACAGGCCCTGGAGGGATCCCCACGACTCAGCCCCATGTTCCCCCCAGCCCCTACAGGCACGAGCATCAGTGATGCCTCAGGGGACCCAACCCTGTCCTCAGTAAAACCCTTGACTGTGCAGGTGAGACATCACCATGGTGACCAGTGCCACTGCAGAAATGCAGGGTGCCGGAAGATGGAGCCGAAGGCAGTGCCCGATGCAGAAGAGGGCCCCGAGGTGACAGGAGCAGGCTGGGTTCCCACCCTTGGCTGCCCTGGTAGTGCCCACTAGGGCCATCATCCTAGGCTTACCTGATATCAAGACTGGTGGGCAGGCTGTTGGAACTGGACCCTTCTAGTAAAAACAACTCAAAATGCTTGAAAGAATATGAAAACATCTTAAAAGCAGCCATGAACTAACAAGGTCATGCAGGATTTGGCCAATATCTCGGAGAACGTGGAAACCCAGAGAGGAAAGAAAGCGGAGTACACTGGCTTTTCCTGCCCTGAGGCACTGGCCCATCTGGGCAAACTGGGCTCTGGTCGCCCAAGGTGAGGGAGACTGAAGACGAGGCCCAGGGCTGTCCCCAAGATGGGACTGTAGTAGGAAACCCTCCCCTGAGTGGAGCTGGGACCCTGAAAGGCAGCCCTCCTAGGGTGAGGGGGGGCTCTATCCACAGCCACCCCCAGGGGCCACAGGGAACAGCACACAAAGTGGGGAGAGTCCCTGAGAAGCCACAAGAGCACAGCCGGGGCCACACTGGGGGTCCAGGGATCCTCATGCCAAGACTTGGATGGAAGGGCTCCCGCACTGGTAGTGCTCCTAGGCACCTGGAGAACCGAAGTTCTCATCTTCATGCTAGACCTCTGAGAAGTCTCACAAATCATTTCAAGGACAAAGAGCAGGACAGTCAGAAAGAACACCACATAACAAAACAAAGCGCCATAAGCAAAGACCAGCAGAAACGGATCCCCACACGTCTCATAAACCAACCAGGCTCTCACTGCAGAAAAAGAAGCTTGAGAATATTTGCAGGAAAAGGATGTGAAAAAGAGTAAACCAGGAGGTTCACAAAGCACCAGAGAGGACTTTTAGGACCAGAAGCTATAGAAACCACAGATTAAAACTCAGCAGTGGATTTAAGATGAGCAGATTAGACACAGCTGATGAGACAGATCAAATTGTCCAGAACGCTGTGCAGGGAGGTAGGAAGCATGTGGGGCCTCCTGAGGGGCCCCACCCGCCAGGTGCAGGGGATGGGAACCTGCCACGCAGCCGTGGTCCAGCACAGAAGACACAGGCCTTCTCACTCCCAGGGAGCTAGTCTCTCCCACAAATGAGAATACTGCAGGAGAGGCCAACCGGCATGGCCTGTGGCAACCAGGTCAACCGTGGTCAGTGGGAGAAGCCCTGCCAACCCATCACTTCTGAAATCCCACCCACCCAGAGCCCTACCAGGACAGAGGATTGTTCTGAGGATTGCTCCACCAGGGACATACTGCCCCACCAAGGACATGCAGCTCTTGTCAGATGAGGCCATCATGTAAGCCTTGGCCTGCTGTGCACCTCACTGGGCTGTGTACCCAGCTGCTGGGCAAGGCCATCCACTGGGGGCAGCTCTGGCTACTGATGCTCACAAGCCAGAAGTAGAGCCCTCCAACTTGGCTGCAGGACCTTGCCATCCTAGCCAGCCTGTGTGGGTGGCAGACCTGCCCTCCAGACAGGGGTAGCAGGGAGGGCTCTGTGGTTGGAGGAAAGGCCACTGATGGGTCTCCAGGCAGCCTGGCGCCAGAGGTGTGGGCACAAAGCCCAGGGCTGCGGCCTCGATGAAGACGTGGTCATTGGGAGGGAAGGACCAGAGGAAAGCCAGCCCCTGGGGAGGGGACCATCAGGAACTGCCTTTCTCTCCAATCCCTCGCCCCCCACTCAAGCCAGGCCCGCTGCCCACTGCCCCACCCCTTCTCAGCTCCACGTCCCACCACCCCCGCAATCTCATTCACCTAGGCAGGTCCCATGGGTGCAGGGCCCTTCTCCCAGCATGCCCCCACCCAGGCCCTAGTGAAATCCTCCGACACCCTACTTGTTGGGCCACCTTCTCACTCCTGCTGACTTTCAGGGCTCCCCGAGCGAGCTCCGGATACAGACACTGTGGTCCCAGTTACCGTCCCGCCGGCTGGACACAGGGCGGGCAGGAGGCTGGAATTGCTAACAGGGGCAAACTGAGTCCTGCTCCTGCCATTGCACGCCTGCCTGCCTGGCCACTTGGGGCACTAAGAAAACACTGCTCTCCACTTCCCAGGGTTCCGAGGCTGGCACAGTGGGAAAGAGATAGGGAAGGGCTTCTATAGGCCCCACCCTGCCAGATGGGGCTGGGGCTCATCCATGCTTGGTGGCTTCTTCGTTTGTCATGGGGAGCTCACCCCTGAAGGACACCCAAGCTGATGAAGTGTGTAAGGGAGGACAGCATCCCGGGCAAAAGCGTGCCTGGCTTCCTCAGTGACATCCCTGCGCCCCCTCGTCCCCACCTCCGCCAGGAATGCAAGCCCAGGCCCTCTGTGGAGTGTCTGCATGCCCATGGCAGCCCCCAAGCCAGAGCCAGCCCACGGCTAGAGGAAGAGACAGGCAGGAAGGTCCTGGGGAGGTCTGATCAGGAACCTCACCCGTGGACCCTGGCAACCTCGGCGGGGACACCTTAAGGTAGTGAAGCCTGGCAGCGTCCAAGCATTGAAGGAAGTCGCACCCCACCTCTGCCTGTTGTGCCCAGGATGCTGGGCCCCAGCAGGCGAAGGAAGCTACAATGGTGATGTGCACACCCACCCCCAGGCCTGCAGATGGTACTTAAATGTCACAGACCCATCCTTTCCACATGGAAAGGGCTCACTTTCCCTCCTTTTCCCTCATCTGGCCTCACAGCAACCAGGAGGGCAGCTGGGCAACCCAGCGCATGGAAAAGTATACCCCCGCCGAAAAGGGGCAGGTGCCACAGAATCTGGCTCTCTGGGAGAGTGACACACAGACCCAGAGAAGGCCGGGCCCCCGCTGTCACAGAGCAGAGGACAGGCCGGCTGGGGAAAACTTTCCCATGCCAGGCGCTTCACAGGGGTCATTTCCCTCTCCCCGGGAGCTTCGGCAATGCGCTTGTGGGGGGTCCCCGCTGGCTGCACTCAGAGCGAAGGAGCAGGCACCTGCGGCTGCTGGAACCAAGTGGGCCTCCCGACCCTGCATCTGCTCCCAGCAGCCCCCCAGAAGGCCAGGATACCCCCAGCACTGCACCCCAACACCGCCCTGGCATATCCACAAACCACTGCCCCCGGCGCCATCGTGGAAACGCTAAGAAGCCAACATGCCCACTGCAGTGGCCCTGGTGACCTCACTGTTCTCTCAGCGCTCGACCCTGGAAAAGCCTGTGATAGGTGACAAAACGTCACCATGTCCACACGTGGTCCCACCGGGGGTGCTGTCTCACAAATGCCACAACCTCAAGGGTGCAGCCGGGCCTCGGAGCCGCCCACAGGGATGGAAGACCCCGGACAGTGGCCC